GCCCAAGGAGAGAGAGCGGCAGTGAGTGGTCTTTATTACAGGAGGGGGCAGAGACAAGACCAGTCACCCTGCAACCAGCAACCTTGGTCAGCGGGAGGAAAGTCCCAGGTCAGATGAGCAGGAGAAAAAAAAATACCTTGCCATTGGCGGTGTGTGTAACAACAGACCTCAGATCACCCTACTCCCCATGCTTTCCCCACTGCGCTCTTCCTCCTGGTTTCCCTTATCTCCACCCCCCCCTGCTTTTCCTTGCAGACGGACAGCAGAGATCGGGAGGTTAAAAGAGGGGAGGGGCATATAAAGTATAAAATAAGCTAAACGCACCAGAAAATGACATAAAATAAAAAGACAACATAAAAAAACATCAACCTTACCCCAAAATTCTTACACGTCTTAAACGTGGGGGATATCACAAATCGGCTAGAGACAGCCTAGACCAGTGGTGGCGAACCTTGGCACTCCAGCTGTGCAAAAACTACAAATCCTGCGTCTTATGGAGGGAAAAAGTGCCTGCGTCTTATGGAGCGAATCCCGACGCCCGAGACATGCAGTTTCGGGTGCCGGGCGAGTAGTAGGAGCCACTGCTCGTTTAATACGAGTGATCTAACGAGATCACTCGTATTAAAGCCGAGCAGCGGCGACGATCGAGATAACCATAGAGCAGACGAAGAATAGGCGTTCTTCGCCTGCTCTGTGTCATCACTGAGACCGTGGCGCTGTAATCACAGCGCCACCTGTCTCAGCGGTCACTAACTGCAGCTTCTGTCACAGCTTCTGTCATAGAAGCTGTCACAGAAGCTACAGTCTCGAGTGCTCCATAAGGCGCGCCGCACCTCCCTGCGTCCTATGGTCCGGTGCGTCTTATGGACCACAAAATACGGTATGCCTGTGGCTGTCAGAGCTTTGCAATGCCTCATGGGACCTGTAGTTACAAAACAGCTGGAGTGCCGAGGTTCGCTACCACTGGCCTAGACCGTCTGACCAGTGTGGGGGGAGAGGACACCCTCTGGTGCGCATGAGATGGAGTAGTTCTCTCCCCCGCATGTTACATGTACCCGTGCTTTGGTATTGGTGGGGGTTAATGGTGGACTTTGCTTTGTGGTGCACGGTCAGCGCCATGTTCTTTCGGAGACTCCCATGAACCGTATTTCAAAGTGTTGCAGAGGTTGTCAGTGCCGTATAAGAAAGAGTGAAGCTGTGCGCCCCTTTAATGCAAACTGAGTTCCATGTTTGCCCCCGAGCTCCATATGTAAAAGAAGGTGAATTTAAAGAGACAGTGCAGGTTTTTTTCCATAAATTTGCTTTATTTTATGTTCAAGAGTAAAAAAATATTTATTGTGCTTCTTATTAATCCAGTAATTGCAAAATTGTACAGCAAAGTATTTAATGATGTATTTATTTTATTTGCTTCTTCCGGCCAGCGGAATTCTGAGACCGAATATATGAAGAATTGTTCGAAGAATCCCGAACGTTTGCTTTGTTCACCTGAATGGTACATTAGTACTCTCCAATATATGGACCTCAAAATACAATACAATGCGGCCTATAGAATGTCACAACTAGAACCTTTCTCAACTGGGACTGCACTTGCAATTCACAAACCCCAACTGACTGGAGGCACTTGCTCTTATTGGAGATGTTGCCCTCTTCTCACAGATACATGCGAGGCTCTGCTTCCTAGTAGGGATGAACTTAAGATCATCCGGAACCCGGTCCAAACCTGAGATATCCGAACGAGGAGGTGCCATGGGCACTTCCAACCAATCAGCTACGGGCTGGGCGTTCCCCTCTCCACAGCTGCATGTAAACAAAGGGGCGGGATGGTTTTGGTGACATCGTTTACCTTATGGCCATATTAGATAAAAGTAATTCACCAAATATAGGCATGTAGCCATATAAGGTAAACAACGTCACCAGATTCCCGACAAGGCCACGGCGGCCCGGCCTTGGGGCGGCAGGGAGCGGAGGGGCGGCACAGGTTTGAAGTCTCCCGACGCCCGGAACATGGAGTTCTGGGTGCCGGGCGGTAATTTGTTTTCTACATTTAGCCCGGCTTTGGACAAGCAGGGCTAAATGTAGAACGGGGAAACCATTTGTTTCGTTACAAGTGATCCCGGCGATGTCGCCAAGATCACTTGTAATAAGACTGTAGGCTGTGCGTCCTGTAGTGCTGTGCTGTGCTAGAACTCCTGTATTTGAGGTGACAGGGTCAATAAAGAGAACCTGTCTCCTCCAAATGCTATCACACAGGGGCTTGTTAGCTCCTGTGTGATAGCAATAAAGTTAAGTGACATTTTTTTTGATCAAAAATAATTAGGAATCTGGTTGGCATTCTCCATGAAGGGGGGGGGGGTTTGGCAGGGAGGGGGGCTCATTGAGGAACCTGGCCCTGGGGCAGCAGGGAGAGTAAATCCGGTCCTGAATGTCACTGCATCCCGCCCCTTTACTGACATCAATTGTGGGTGGGGAATTCCCTGCCTGCAGCTGATTGGGCGATTCTCGATTCGAAGGAGCTCAGATTTGGACCAGTTTTGATCTGAATCAGAGATTATCCCTACTCCTTAGTCACATCACATGGAACCACAATACATCAGTAGCCTGCAGAGTGTGTAATAGACAGCTACATACAAATATGTTAAAATGAATTATACAAAATTTGGTAAAAAAAGTACAATTAAAATAATAAAAAAGTGCAAACCCTAAATTTAAAAAAATACAACAGCTTCCCTTTAAAAAAGAATTGTGGTCTCCCCCCAAAAACGTGCTGCACCACTTACAGTTTTCCCTCGGTCCCCCAGCAAAGTCATACAAATACTAGTCAATCCAGTGAAATGCACCTAAAGCAGCTTCCTGTGATTGGGTGACAACGCTGCTGCACTGCTCCTGAATTCAGTGCAGCTTTGTCACCCTCATGTGAGCTGTGCCTGCTTGCACTACCATGTGATGGGAAGTTTCTTTTTGATCCAGATCTTTCTTCTCTGCGCAGACTTGTCATGGCTCCAAAAGAACTTCGGCCGAGTCTCAGCTCTATTCTGGAAATAAGGATTCCGGCAGTCATAGGGGTTCAGTGAGAGGGGCGGCCAGCTGTGTAAGATGAACGCCGAGATGACAATTACTCAGCACGCTGCCCCATGAGTCAGTCCATTTGTAACATTGTTATGCTTGATTGGTGTTCACACTTAACCCCTTCATACCTAGAGGGTACCGAACCACGATATGAAAAAACCTTCCTCCCCCGCCCCGGGTGTATGGGTTCATGCGACGATTGATTCCCTGCTTGGGTCAAGTTTCTTATTTTTTAATCTCATTTTCTTCCTCCAGACAAAGGTCCCGCCTCCTTTCACAGCCGTAACAGAGACTCTTCCTTTGGGGTCATCACAAGACAACCTTCAGTCTTGGCCGGAGGGATTTCAGTTGTCTCATTGTTTCTTCTGACAAGGAGTTGTCACTGATCCTAGAGGAGAGGAAATACACTTTTATCAGATCTCAGCAGAGCGCTCTCCCACTATTTCCCAGCGTCCTCCATGACGTCTATTTTACTACAACCTGCCACCTTCTTGTAGGAATTCAATACCTAATAAACTAACTCACTATGGAGGCTGATGGGTGATACCAGACTATGAAGCAGGGAATAATATTCCTCCTCATTGGTCATTTGTCCTGTAAGATCTGTTCTCTGATGTCCCACAGTCACCAGTAGGGATGCACCGATACTGGTATTTCGGTATCGAGAACGAGTACCAATAATTTTTGGTACTGGCTGATACCGATTGCCGAGTATCGGAAGTCCCATTCAGGAAGCCCGGCGGCGTGTAATGACTCGCCACCTGGCTTCCTGATTAGCCGGGAAGCCGGGCGGCGTGTAAAGACTCCCCACCCGGCTTCCCGATCCCCATGATTCTTGTCATTAGATGACGACAGAGCATGGAGCCGGCTTTCTGGCTGATCAGGAAGCCGGGCACTGTGTAATGACGCGGCTCCTGGTTTCCTGATTGGCTTGGAAGCCAACTCCATGCTCTCTCGTCACCTTATGACGAGGGAGCATGAAGCCGGCTTCCTGGCCAATCAGGAAGCCCGGGCGCCGCGTCATTACACAGCGCCCGGCTTCTTGATTGGCCAGTTTCCCGACCAATCAGGAAGCCGGGCAGCGAGTCATTACAGTAGGGATGCACCGATACTGGTATTTCAGTATCGAGTACGATCACCAATATTTTTTTTTTGGTACTCGCCGATACCGAGAGTATGGAGTCATGTAATGACTCGCTGTCCGGCTTCCTGATTGGTCGGGAAGCTGGCCAATCAGGAAGCCGGGCGCCGTGTAATGGCGTGACACCCGGCTTTTCTGATTGGCCTCATGACGAGGGAGCATGGAGCCGGCTTCCGGCCAATCAGGAAGCCAGGCGCTGCGTCATTACACGGCGCCTGGCTTCCTCATTGGCCAGAAAGCCTGCTCCATGCTTTCTCGTCACCTAGTAACGAGGACGGCTTCCCTGCTAATCAGGAAGCCAGGTGGCGAGTCATTACACACCGCCTGGCTTCCTGAATGGGACTTCCGGTACTCGGTATCGGCGAGTACCGAAAAAAAATATCAGTGCCCGTACTCGATAGCGAAATACCGGTATCGGTGCATCCCTAGCTCTTACCCTATTCGCTTAGCTAAATCCAGGTGGTGACTTTATGGCCAGCCAGTGTATATGCTGTAATCAGAGTTTATTCACTACCTTGTTTTATTGTCATAAAGGTGGAGTCACAATTTCAAAGGATATGGTTGTGATGTCACTTCCTGTTCTGTGAACTAGGAGCAGTATTGGAGATTTGCTCCCGCACTGCCACTGTCTTGGGGTAAAGCTGGAGAGGTGAATTCAACATTTGAACTGAGGGGTGTTGTATGAGCCCCCCGCCTGCACTGTGTATCCAGTATATGGTGACACGGATATCATCTCACACAGCATTATCACACTGGGGAATATAAAAGTGTCAGTCAGTCCGGTTATACTCACTGTAATTCCTCTATCCGGCTTGTTTTCAGAGCTGCCATCAGATCCCTGAAATGAGGACCCGCCAGGTTGTTATTGGACAGGTAAAGTCTTTTCAGTGTCTTGTTATCCCTTATTCCAGATGCCAGGTCGGGGCAGGAACTGTCTGTCAACTTATTGTACTTAAGACTATAAAAGAAGAGAAGAATGTTACCAAAAATATTAAAATTGTAGTCATTCATTTTCCAGGAATTCATTTTGCTAATATCTATATTATTGGAAGCACCCCATCAAACGTTATAATCAATACATACAATTGAGCAATAGTTGCATTCTCAGTATTATCCACCAGGGAAGCCTACACTGTGCATCCTGGGTGGTCACTGCAAGACATTGGAGTGACAAGGGTGGGTGTTTTGGCCACCCCTGGGAACAGCCTGTCAGAGTACAGGCACATCCTGGTGGCTTGCTATCCCACCTGATAGTGCCTGTTTAGAGGGGCTTTAGTGATCAGTAGGTGAATAATTGCCCCTTACATTAGTGATCAGTAGGTGAATAATTGCCCCTTACATTAGTGATTAGTAAGTGAATGAATGCCCCTTACATTAGTGATCAGTAGGTGAATAATTGCCCCTTATATTAGTGATCAGTAGGTGAATGAATGCCCCTTACATTAATGATCAGTAGGTGAATGATTGCCCCTTACATTAGTGATCAGTAGGTGAATAATTGCCCCTTACATTAGTGATTAGTAAGTGAATGAATGCCCCTTACATTAGTGATCAGTAGGTGAATAATTGCCCCTTATATTAGTGATCAGTAGGTGAATGAATGCCCCTTACATTAATGATCAGTAGGTGAATGATTGCCCCTTACATTAGTGATCAGTAGGTGAATAATTGCCCCTTACATTAGTGATCAGTAGGCAAATAATTGCCCCTTACATTACTGATCAGTAGGTGAATGAATGCCCCTTACATTAGTGATCAGTAGGTGAATGAATGCCCCTTACATTACTGATCAGTAGGTGAATGAATGGCCCTTACATTAGTGATCAGTAGGTGAATAATTGCCTCTTACATTAGTGATCAGAAGATGAATGAATGCCCCTTACATTAGTGATCAGAAGGTGAATGAATGCCCCTTACATTAGTGATCAGTAAGGTGAATAATTGCCTCTTACATTAGTGATCAGTAGGTGAATGAATGCCCCTTACATTAGTGATCAGTAGGTGAATGAATGCCGTTTTTTCAGTATCGATTACGAGTCCCGACATTTTTTTACGGTACTCGTCGATACCAAATTCCGATGCCGCAAGTCCCATTAAGGAAGCCAGGCGGCATGTAATGACTCGCCACCTGGCTTCCCGTTATAGCCGGGAAGCCGTCTCCATGCTCCCTCGTCACCAGGTGACAAGGAAGCATGGAGTTAGCTTTCTGGCCAATCAGGAAGCCGGGGGTGGGGAATGACCCGCCACCTGGCTTCCTGATTGGCCAGCTTTCTGACCTAGTAACGGTGCATCCCTGGTTTGATCATATTTGTCCTCCTTCATTCAACCCTGTGATTATCCTCTTCTGTGCCCCACTTGTGTCCATTCCTTACCCTATCCCTCCACTTTCACCCGTATCTTCTTGGCACAACAACTCTCATCCCTGGTGCCTGCCCCTTATTCACCAGGAGCTGCAGAGCTTTCTTTATGGTTCCTCATGAGGGACATTAATCTCGTATGACATTTTGATTATTCTTTTTGGGATGTTTAGACTCTTTTTTTTTTTTTAATGCCATCTACACTATATGGACAAAATACATGAACCTTCCTCCGAATGATTGAGTTCAGGTGTCTCCAGTGAAGGACAATGTTAATCCTACAACATACAAAGACATTGTGGACACTTGTGCTCTTCCAGCCTTGTGGTAACAGTTTGGTGAAGACCCTTTTCTGTTCCCCGTATGACTGCCCCCTGTGTACAAAGCCAGCTCCATAAAGACCCGGTGTGACCAGTTTGGTGAAGGCCCCCCTTTCTGTTCCACCATGATTGTCCCTTGTCTACAAAGCCAGCTCATTAAGACATGGTGTGACCCGTTTGGTGAAGGCCCCCTTTCTGTTCCACCATGATTGTCCCTTGTCTACAAAGCCAGCTCCATAAAGACATGGTGTGACCCGTTTGGTGTAGAGCAGTGGTTCTCAACCTGTGTAACTCCAGGACCCACATTTGTCCTCGGTCATTTAGTCACGACCTAAGTTGCACTGCAATGGAACGCACGGCAGTGTGGGCTGCTGTGCTGTGACGGAGCTCCATCCATATGTGCATTGCTTGTACAGCTCCCATGCGTCCCCTGTAGAGGTGCCGAGAGCCAGAATGTGACGTTACTCCAGTCCAGGCAACTCTACAAGGCATGTGAGGGAGCTGTAAGCAATGCACATATGGATGGAGCTCCAATACTCCCAGCGACTCCACCTCAAGCTCGAGCAGCATATTTTGAATGGCTGCTCTGTGTGAGAATGGACAATGCTGCGCTAACAGGAGGCTAGGGAGAGGCTGAGGAGCCTCTCGCCTAGAAAAGTGGAAGGCATGCGGCGACCCACTGAACACAGGGTCGCGACCCACCCGTTGAGAACCAAGGGTGTAGAGGAACTCGAGTGTCCTGCACAGAGCCCTGAACTCAACCCTACAGAACACCTTTGGGATGAATTGGAACGCTGATTGTTAGTCAAGTCTTCTCATCCAACATCAGTACCTGACCTCACAAATGTTCTTCTGGCTGAATGTTCACAAATTCCCGGAAACACATTCCCAAATTTTGTGGAAAGCCCTCCCAGAAAAGTGGAGACTGTTATAGATGGGGGCAACTCTATATACATGTCCATTGTTTTGAAATGGGATGTCCGGCAACCTTCTATAGATGTGATGGTTAAGCCTTCACAAACCTTCGGCCATATAATGTACCAAACTGAAGGAATATCAAATTTAAAAAGCTTCCAAGCATCAGACACATTGTGTGGCTTTCTAGGAAATTCAGACAGATGACTTGTACAGAATATAATGCATATATTTATGTATTTGGAAGTCAAACTGTCTCAGAATATTATATCTGTTGTACTCACTGTAATTCCTCTATCCGGCTTGTTGTCAGAGCTTCCATCAGATCCCTGAAATGAGGACCTCCCAGATTGTTCCTGGACAGGTTCAGTGTCCTCAGTGTCTGGTTATTTCTTATTCCAGATGCCAGGTCGGGGCAGGAACTGTCTGTCAGATGATTTCTATCCAATCTGTAGAAGAAGAGAAGAATGTTACCAGAAGATAATGAATTTCTCGCCCTGGAATGAATGGGGCGCCCACAATTTTTCGTCTGGAGATCTACTTGACGAGCTCAATGAGATCTACCAACGAAAAAACACCTGCATTCAGGGGCGGGAGGGGGCGTGGTGGTGCATTGAAGTCGATGGCACCGCAGGCAGGCCCCTCGCCCACAGTGCGATCGCCCGCACCCGGAACCCAGGAACATTAGTGCCTGCGTTCCAATCCAATGCGATCCGCAAAAATGCTGCAAGCACTACTGAATCAAGATTTGTCATTTTTGACTTATTTGCGATTTTGGGTAATAGCTTTTGGTGCTCCCCCACATTGTCATCTGTCAGGCTTGTTGAAAAGTTTGGAAGTTGTATATGGGAAGTTCTGCACCATAAAACATGATCTGATTCAACCAACCTACATCTAGATATTGACTGCATGAATCCCTATCTGTAACAGGTCTGGGCAGCCATGTTTATGAGCAGATTGGACCGGGCTGTATGAGCATGACCTGAACATATGTGGGACACTGGGCATGGTCAAAACAGCATTTATAGAATAACACATTTAACCCACTGCTGCCCATCCCATTATCTGCTGCCCATCCCGTTATCTGCTGCTCATCCCATTATCTGCTGCCCATCCTGTTATCTGCTGCCCATCCCATTATCTGTGCCACGACCATCTTGCTTGCTGCTGTTATTCACTCCTCTGTCCCTGCCACATACACCTGTGCTATGTCTGCCCATCCTATTACACCTGCCTTAAAATATTATTTGTGTAATGGAAAGCTAAAACCACCCTCTGGTGTCCGACCAGAGGTATAGCAGGCCTAGGGAGACTTCTCCCAATTACACAATCCAGGGGACGGGGTATGATGTGTTGCAACTCCCTCACGGCCTCATCCAAAACTGGGTAAAGTGAGAAAGAGTTGCGTCCTGATTCCCGTCCTAAACCCCTACAACTCCACATCCGCAGTTGTGATCCGCTATACAGACCTCCGCTAAATAGGCGAGCGTGACAATCTGCTGCTGCCAATTTTATACCCACATCTTACTTGCTGCTGCCCATTGCGCTATTCCTGCCATGCACTTTTTACCTGCCGCTACCCAACCCACTACCCAGCTGCACACATCTTACTTGTTGCCAATCCCACTACCTCTGCTACACATTTCTTATCTGGTTCCTCTATACCGGACACATATCATCTGTCCTGATGTCCATCCTATCAGATAATTTAAAGGAGAAGTATGGGGTTAGGGCTTTTCCCCATAGTTCTCCTAAGGGTAACGGGAGGACACAAACTAGCGTCCTCCCGTCACCCAAAGCTCAGTATACCGCGAGCTACAGCTCGCGGTATACTGAGACGCCGCAGCCGGGACGGATCCCGACATTGCTGTCGAGATCCACCCAGCTGCGGGATTGACAGCTGGCTCTGCCTATCCAGAGGCAGAGCCAGCTGTGCCAGCCCTCTCCCCCGTCCGTTCCGCCAGTCAGCGCTGGAGGATCGGACAGGGGAAGGGGGGAATCCCTGCAGGGAGCCATGAGTGACAGTCACGGCTCTCTGCAGGGAGATGATCGCGAAGTGAGTGAGCGACGGTATGTGTTCTCTCACTTCCCGATCTATTGAGCCGGCCTGTAACAGATTCATTGTCACAGGTCGGCTAGAACTATGAGGGTGAGTGATTTTCACTCACCTCATAGTTCTCCTTTAATATATATGTTTATGACATCAAAGTGCCCCCCGAATATTATTCTCAGTCAGTCCTGTTATACTCACTGTAATTCCTCTATCCGGCTTGTTCTCAGAGCTTCCATCAGATCTCTGAAATGAGGACCCTCCAGGTTGTTCATACACAGGTAAAGTGTCCTCAGGGTCAGGTTTTTTCTTATTCCAGATGCCAGGTCGGGGCAGGAAATGTCTGTTAGGAGATTTCTATCCAATCTGTAGATGAAGTGAAGAATGTTACCAGAAAAGATTCCTGGGAGTTTTTTATTTATATCTGTGATGTGAATGGGGCCTTTGTTGTAGGCATTTTTTTCTTAGCAGACAAGCACCTAAAAAGTCACATAGGTGAGACGTTGCACTACACAACACTATATACACTGTTAACCAGGGCCAGATTTCCCACAAGGCCAACCAAAGCCCGGCCTCAGGCAGCAGGGGTGTGGAATTCCTATCTCTTGACGTCCAAGGACATGCAGTTCCGGCGCCGGGCGGGTAGCTGTTCTCTACATTTAGCCCTGCTTTGGGCAAGCAGGGCTAAATGTAGAGCGGGAAAGCCGTCGCTTGTTTTGTACAAGTGATCTCAGCGATGTCGCCGACGTCACTTGTATGCAGCCTGCAGGTCTGCCATTCTCCATTGGGGGTGGGGGGGGGATTTGGCCGGTAGGGGTGAGCATTGAGGAACCTGGCCTTGGGGGCAGCAGAGAGAGTAAATCCGGCCCTACTGTTAACACTAGAAAACATTCAGATCTCAGCTGTTGGAATCTCGTTCTTCAACTGGTTTGGACATTCATTTTAATGGGCACATTTAACCAATCAGTATGTTCATGACCTTAACACATGGGAGCAATATCAGTGATAATAGGGCAGTATATATAGAGACATGTGGTCCTTAAACAAGCACATCTTAAGTCCCAACAGTAAAATATTGGAAAGTATCCCTTACATGGCCAAAAGTATGTGAACCACTCGCCAAATGATGGAGTTCAGGTGTTTCCAGTGGGAGCTACTGGTAATTATACATCATACAAAGACATTTTAGACAACTGTGCTCTTCCATGCTTGTGGTCACAGTTTGGTGAAGACCTTTTTCTGTTCCACCTTGACTGTCCCCTGTGTACAAGGCCAGCTCCATAAAGACATGGTGTGACCAGCTTGGTGTGGAGGAACTAGAGTGGTCTGCCCAGAGCCAATTCAAGACAGGTCTTCACATCCAACATTAGTACCTGGCTTAATCACCACAAATGCATAGACACTTCAACATTTGGTGGAAAGCCTTCCCAGAAGAGTGGAGACTCTTATAGAAGCAAAGGGGGGGGGGGCAGGGGGCAATGCCACATTAGCAGGGAAAAGGTTTACTCTGCTAGATAGAGCAGAGAAAAACCTTTCCGGGGAGAAAATGTTTCTCTTCCGGGTGTCCAGGAGCCGCTATCTTATTGCAGGAGACTCCCGGAGCATCCGGGATTGTTGAGATGTCTGCTGTGGTCAGGGTACACCCAGCAGCAGGTAGATGCAAACGATAACAGATTGATTAGGGGAAAGCAAATGAGCATAGACTACAAATCAGCATAAGACTGATTACAATCTGAAAATACTACATTTATGAAGCACTCCTGCTTATAAGGTGCTACACCAGAGTTTGCGGAGTTCTCATTTCCTGAATAGATACATATTTGATATGATTTAGGGAATATGTTTTGGATGTCAAAGTTTACTAGAACATTTTCTCAGAATGTCTCATTATGCTTACACTATTTCCTCTATCCGGCTTGTTGTCAGAGCTTCCATCAGATCCTTCAAATGAGGACCCTCCAGGTTATTATCAGACAGGTTCAGCGTCCTCAGTGTCTGGTTATCTCTTATTCCGGATGCCAGGTCGGGGCAGGAACTGTCTGCCAGGTTATTATTCATCAAACTGTAAAAGAAGAGAAGAATGTTAGCATAAAAGTTCTAAAAAAAATATTCCTTTTTGTTCTTAGAATTAATTGTGCTAACCTTTTTGTAAATTAAACCCATCTTTATGGTAACATATTATATTATCAAATATATATATTATATTTATATTGCTAGATCAAGGATGACACAATCACAGAAATCCTGGTGCTAGGGGCAGCCAAGTCCTGCTCTGATATGTGCACTTACACCTCCCGCCACTAGGGGGTGATCAGACATACGTCAGGCACATCTCTCTGTGAAGGTTGGAAACCTCTACCATGGTTTCCAGTCATGCTATAGAAGTCTTCCTTGTTGTGTAAGCACACTCTGTCTGTACAGTGCATGTTGTATGGCACAGGTCCTATTGGCTGTACATGGGGAGAGACGGCTGTTCTGTCACCCACGAGTGCAGAAGTTTCATGTTGGATTGGGGTATTGGATATTATCCCGGGTAGAAAGGGGAAGAAGGGGTATCCTGTGGTGTCATGGGGGTAAGGAAGGGGTATCCTGTGGTGCCATGGAGGTGAGGAAGGGGTATCCTCTGGTGTTATGGGGGCAAGGATGGGATAACTGTGGTGTCATTTTGGGCGAGTAAGGGATATCCTGTGGTGTCATGGGGGCAGGGAAGGGGTATTCTGTGGTATCAGGGGGGTGAAGAAAGGGTATTCTGTGATGTTATTGGGGTGCAATCTCCTCTTTCCTGGTTGTCTTTTCTCACTCTCCTGGCTGTCACTCCTCTCTCTCTCCTGGCTGTCTCTCCTTGTTCTCCTGGCTGTCTCTCCTCTCTCCCCTTGCTGTCTCTGCTTGCTCTCTCTCCTAGCTGTCTCTGCTCTGTCTCTCCTGGCTGTCTCTCCTTTCTCCTGACTGTCTCTCCTCACTCTTTCCCCTGGCTGTCTTTCCTTGCTCTTTTCCTTGGCTGTCCCTCCTCACTCTCTCTCCTGGTTCTCTCCTAGCTCTCCCCGGCTGTCTCTCCTTGCTCTCTCCACTGACTGTCTCTCCTCACTCTTTCTCTCCTGGTTGTCTCTCCTCTCTTTCCCCTGGCTGTCTCTCCTCACTCTCTCTCCTGGTTCTCTCCTAGCTCTCCCCGGCTGTCTCTCCTTGCTCTCTCCACTGGCTGTCTCTCCTCAGTCTCCTTTCTTGCCTTTCTCCCCTCTCTCTCCTGGCTATCTCTCTTTGCTCTCTCACCTGGCTGTCTCCTGTATATTCACCCAAAAAATTGTCCTTGGGCACTAGAGTGTTTAAGTTTAACTTGAAGAAAAGGTGGAAATCCATACAAAGCGCAGCAACACTTCCCACTTTGATTCCTCACATGATAGCCACTGTCCTCCGCCTATAAATAGCTGAGCTGTCTTATTCAAAATGATGACGTCATTGAGGTTTACAGCATATTTTACTCAGAATGCAGATCATGTAAACCAAGTTTTAGCTGTGAATAGGACCGGGAAGTAGAAGGCGCTTTATTTACGTGTTTTAGTTGTCAAAGGGTCCCGGTATAATATGTTCTCATTTCTGTTATACTCACCGTAACTCCTCTACCCGGCTTGTTTTCAAAACTGCCATCAGATCCCTGAAATGAGGACCCTCCAGATTGTTACTAGACAAGTCCAGTGTCCTCAGTGTCTGGTTATTTCTTATTCCAGATGCCAGGTGGGGGCAGGATTTGTCCGTCAGGTTATTATTCATCAAACTGGAGAAGAGAAAAGAGAAGGGAAAAGAGAAGAGAGAAGAGAAGAAGAAAAGAGAGAAGAGAGAAGAGAAAAGAGAGGAGAGAGAGAAGAGAGTAGAGAGAGAAGAGAAGACAGAAGAGAGAGAAGAGAACAGAAGAGAGAAGAGAAAAGAGAGGAGAGAGAGAAGAGAAGAGAAAAGAGAGAATAGAAGAGAAAATAAAAGAGAGAAGAGAAAAGAGAGAATAGGAGAGAAGAGAAAAGAGAAGAGTAGAAGAGAGAAAAGAAGAAGAGAGAAAAGAAAAGAGAGAATAGAAGAGAAAATAGACGTTACCAGGAAATGAATACTACATTTCTGTTTCCAGTAATACATTTTACTAATCATTTTGTAAATGAATCCTATCTTTATTATTAGTTCCCTTTCTAAAAACACTAACCAAGAAAAATTGATTTATTTTTGTGAAAATGTTTTTCCACACTGAAAAGTCCTTACAATAATCCCTGTGATACATGTCCTAGCTAATGTGGCCATAAGGCACAGGAGAAATTTGATGTGTAACAACATGTGTAATGTTGAATATTATTGTGAAAATGACTTCTAGGTGGTTTCGAAGAGGTCTACTTCCATGTTCCCTGGAGTGGTATGGCAACAGACTGCCTTTGTCTCTGGGTAAAACCATTTGCCAGTCAGGTAAAGGCCACCTATTCATTCTGGGAAAATGTGTGTTAGGAATGTACCTGTAAAGAGTGGAGAGCTGTGACCAGAAATTTCAGACCATGGACAGCAGCACTCGATGGATCGAGAGAAACTGAGTGGTCTGGATGACAAAGCAGAGAATTAGGGGGTTATAGCTGCGGCTGATCCTTCAGCACTCTCTTTGGCTGCCGGAGCCCTGAAGGGCTGCTGTACGGGCTATTCACTATAGTCTGTGCAGCTGCCGAAGGCGGCTGAGTGGCTCAGCCGAGCCGAAGGCATATGCTTCGAAGTGACAGCCAAAGCGGGGGAAACGGCCTAACAAAGGCCAGCCTTTCGCTCCGCAAATGACAGCTGTATGGAGCCAGCCATGATCTGACAGCTGTATGGAGCCAGCCGTGATCTCACAGCTGTATGTCGCCAGCCATGATCTCACAGCTGGCTCCGTCCAGTTGTAATGACAGATCAGCATCCCCAAATGACAGAATGTTCGGCTGAACGAAGGCAGACAATGTACGGCTGATTTCAGCCGATGTACGGCTGAAATCAGCCGTTCTGAGCCGGAGTGAATAGCCAAGGCCAGGGTCAGTGCAAGTGGCAGAAAATCAGCAAGGGGGTCACAAGCCAAGGTCAGTACAGGCAGATGAGAATTAGAGTTGGGGGTCACAAGCCAAGGTCAGTACAGGCAGATGAGAATTAGAGTTGGGGGTCACAAGCCAAGGCCAGTTACAAGTAACAGTAGCGATAACATGGGTCAGCAGGCAGGTTTATGAGTGGACCACGATAATCTGGTAAGGAAGCGGAGAACATAAATTGATGACCATGGTTGACCACGTGGTCAGATGCAGGAGAGACTTGTGTGATTCAGTTCTGCAGACCTATATCGAATCCAAGTTTAAGACCCAGGAGAATCAATTGCTGGCACAGAGTTAAACTGGAGCTGTATCTAAAATTTCTGATTTATAATATCTGTATGTGTTGGATGTCAAAGCGTCCCAAATTATTGCCTCAATCAGCCCTGTTATATTTACCGTAATTCCTCTATCTGGCTTGTGTTCACAGCTGCCATCAAACCCCTAAAACGAGGACCCTCCAGATTGTTATTAGTCAGGTTCAGTGTCCTCAGTGTCCAGTTGTTTTTTATTCCAGATGCCAGGTGGGGGCAGGAAGTGTCTGTCAACCTATTATACTTTAAACTGCCAAAAGAAAAATGTTAACAGAAAAATGTGAAATCATAAAAATTTTTATATTCATGGGATTCATTTTATGAATTGCACCCATCCAATAGTTCTATTAAAAGATAACATCAGGAAGTGAGACTTTGAACTACAGGCAAAGTGGCACTGGGTTTTGTGACTTTTGGCCATGTAACAGTGTAAGATCTACAAGTATGCATTGTGGACATCCGCCATTGACATTTTCCATCAACTGTCTGCTTTCATATTGCTGAGGACACCCAGTCCTTAGCACATTAAGAAAAACTGCCTAACTTATTGTCTTTTATTCTCTTCCTGTTTCACGACTCCATAAAACAAAGAAAATGTTTAATTCATAATAAAAACTCAGACCAACCCATCGGTAAAATTGACCATCCCCATTTAACACAGCCATTAAAATACCCAGAGGAATCTTTACCTCAAATTCCTGATGCGGAGTAGAGCCGGTACAAGTTTCCTCAATCCTTCATTCTGAATATTACATGAACTTAGCTTTACTTCTTCTGTCTTCCTGCAGGACTGAAGGACAGAAGACAACACAGAGCAATCCAGGGGGTTGAGGGTGACATCAGAAAAGTCAACTTGGTTTGATCCAACACATTGTGACACCAGAGCCGTATTCCTGCTCTCATGGAGGCAGTAAAATATATTAAGAAGCTCTCGCCCATGTTCTCTGGATTTTTCGGGTTTTTGTTCTTCTGCAATCTTCTGCTGAATCCAGGTGATGACATATCTGGCCGTCTGAGTAGACAACTCTCCCACATGAGACTTTAACATGGATCTAGTAGAAGAGTCTGAGAGACCGCAGAGGTAACGGAGAAATATTTCAGCACGGCCATCATTGTGAGATTCAGCTTCATCAAGTGTTTTCTGTAATCTGTCCGGATTATAGTGAATGAAATGGACTAAAGCAGCAAAAAACTCCTGAAGAGTGAGATGTAAGAAGGTGTAATCCACATCAGGAGGCTGACCAGATTCCATCATGCAACATGAAAAGAGATGTTTATCATTTCTCACACTGAATGAGTCCAGATGACGTTTATCAAATACAATAGTGCGATTCATGACTCCATGTTCTGCCATCCACCCAATAGACGTCAGCAGTTCCCGGGCAGTGTGAACATCATCTTTATTCTGGTTGTGATTGGCCAGAATGTTGGAGACAAAAGTCACAAAGAGTTGTGTCACTGTTTTGGGCAATGATGTCATCAGCTGATCAGTGATTGTTGGTTGGGCTCTGAAGCACATTGATAACACAGTACAGATGATCCAGCAGTATGATGGGATATAACAGAAAGTGTACAGCGTGTCATTCTCCTTCACATAATGAAAAGCCTTTCCTGATAATTCCTCATTTCCAAAGAAATTTTTAAAAAAGGTCCGTCTGTCTTCATGGAGAAATCCCATGATCTCAGCTATTCTCTGGAAGACACCAGTATCAACTGAGGCCAGTCTGGTTGGACGGCTGGTTATCAGTAAAGAGCAACCCTTAAGAAGACTCTGCCTCACCAAACTGGCCACAATCTCACCAAAATCTGTTCTCTGTTTTGAATCAGTGCAAAGTTTATTTGATTTTAGATTCAACTGGTGAACACTTTCATCTAAGCCATCAAATAGAAACAGAAGTCTCTCTGGATGATGTAAAATATCTCCAATATGACTCCTCAGATACGGATATTGTTGAAGAATCATCTCCTCCAAGCTGACCTCTCCCAGTCTATTAAGGTCCCGGAATCTGAAGGAGAAGACAAAGGCAAATCTCTGGTAGTGTTTTCCGGTCACCCAGTCATAGACAAACTTCTGTATCAGTGTGGTCTTCCCTATTCCTGGTACTCCGCTCACCATTACTGCATGTGGTGCACATTGTGACTGGTGGCTCCAGCGGAACAGCCTGTTGGGGGAAATGTGTTCCAGTCCAGATTGTGTTTTCTTCAAACATTCCTCATGTCTCACCCCGGTCTGTATTAGCTCATTCTGGGGACGTTGCCTGAACTGGTCGGTGGAGACTACAATCAGGTTCACATAACGCTCATTGATGAGGGATCTTTGTGGTTCCACGGTACATCCTGGGGGTCTATGCTCCACTAGAGTCTCCGTTTTCTCCATCAGATGTTGTTTGTGCTTCATCCGAATTTCTGGAAATATAAGATTTTTTTTAGTACAATCAGCTGTACCATGTTCTTCTTGGTTGTGAAAATGTCACTGCATTCTTACATGATCAGCCTAAGTTACCATTCATTCTTTTCTACATTCTGACTTCACTCTAATCCCCACAACAACCACCATTTCTTTTTTTTTTTAAATGATGCGTTTTCTCCAATTAGAAACTTTGTGTCACGATCTTGGATCAGGCTCGGAGTCCAGTAGCTGAAGCAGCAGGCAAATTTGTGATATAACAGGCCGGGTTCGGTACACAAGCAGGTGTTAGTAGTGGAGGAGCAGGCAGAAGCGTAGTCAGCGAACAAGCCGAGGTCAGTAGCCAAAGGTATCAGGTACGAAGCAGAAGATGATGAGAGTAGTCAGTGAATCAGCAGCCAAAGGTCGGTACACGGGTAGCAGTATGAGTGGATTGTATCAGAGGGGGCAGGAAGCAAGATACTGGCAGGAGCACAATAATCTGGCAAACAGGAAGTGCAGAGGCATGGCTTAAATAGGAAGTTCAAGGGAGGAGCAAGAAGTTCAGAGTTCAGCAGAAACTAGGTTTAATTGAAGATTACGCAGGAGATCAGGCAAAGAGCTATCCAAGGTTCTAAGGTGGCTCAACAGGTAGAACCACCACCAGCTACAGCAGAGGCCCTGGGTTCAGATCTGGTTCCTGACACTGTGAAAGGCAGTTACTGTATTACTCTGGGAAAAATACTCCTGACAATTCCATTACATATTCTGGACTGCTGCACACTGTGCTCCATGCACAAAATCTTAATTGTTAAATAAATATATTTTTATTATACTTTATTATTATAAGTAAATTGCTTTAAGGATGAGAAATGTTCAAAAGAAAAAATGATTACAAGACCGCAAATGATTGCAAGATAAATAATGTAGCCCCCATCACCTTTTGTGAAGTTTAACCCCTTCCTTGTTTCCCCGTTCCCATTTGATTTTTACTTAGACATCCACTCTCTGGATAAGAGTTAATTTTTTCGCAAATGCTCCAGACTCCGAGGACGTAGTCTTCAAAGGCGGGGTGAGTGTAAGTCCTCATCACCTTTTATGAGGTGGTTACTAGACATCTAATGATTGCCAGGGCTGTAGTTAGCCTGGCTGGATTATAGTGGCAGTTATCTGGTTAATTCCAGGTGTCTGGCATTGACTGTACCCACCTGGGTGGAGTGTGCCTCTGCTGTATTGTGGGACAGTCAATGAGGGACATTGTAAGTGTATGTACAGTACAGAAGCCAATCACTGGGTTTCTCTCAACCAGTGGTGCATGCTGGGATAGGGTACATATACTGGAGGGAATTGCCATGCGCTCAGGCTAGTTCGGGACCAGCCATGGATTAGCGCAGGACTATGTGCTGTCCATCCACCCCCTAGGCTAGGCCTGGGGTTGGGCACAGGCTGGAGTGTTTAAAGTGTTTCCCTGGGGCCGCAATTATGGAGGAGGTCTGTGTTGTTACCACAGGAGGAGGAAAATGGATGGCTCTAGAAGGTACCTGAAACTTAAAGGACTTCAGGGGCATGGCTGGTGTCTCTCTTGCTGAAGAGTTATGCTCATCCCTGCTCATCTGTTACTCCAATTACTATTCGCTGTACCACAAGTGAGACGCTAAAGAGGTCTGGAGTCTATCTCTGTTACACCCTGGATGTATAGGATCCCTATACCCTCTCTCCCCAGTATGAAGATGTTAATACAAGTCATTCAGCATTACATTACTGGAGTGGATATCAGCTTTGTGGGCACTAGAAGAGGGTGGCGATTAAATGCTAATGGGGCAGCTGAAGATCAAATCCCCTAGACAACTAGTGATGACCTGGGTTATTCCAGCGGCTCCTTAGGGGGTAAGCGCTACATGTGGGGGCTCATCCGGGATCATCCTAGTCACTTTTGAGCCATTTCTGTTAATTTTTGTGCTGCCGTGACTTATAGCAACCGACCTGGTGACCAAGGAATTTGTGTCCAAAAGCGCTGTTTTTGTGTTTTGGATGCTCCTAGCAACTAAAGATACTGTATCCTGTGTTTTTAAACAAGAAAAATGTGCTTTATTCTGAGAAAATGTCATTTACTGGACTGAGTTGGGTTTCTGCTGGGAGAGAGGGGGTTAACAGGCCCCAGTGAAGATGAGCTCATCTGTGCACGTGCTAACCCAGATAGCAAGGATAACTTGACACAAACTTGTGTCAGGGTTAAATTGTAATTTTGTTAACTTGCAGCACATATTCCTGGCAAGTTGTAGACTTGCAGCACAAGTTCTAGTTGACACTTTTTGAATTTGTAGCAAATTTGCTTGGCAAGTCTACAGCAAGAGTCCTGCAGGTCTTAGCAAGAGCTCTGCAAGCTCGCTGGTCTGGAGACGTGCAATGCAGACTTGCTGTAATTGTGATTGTGCAACAAAATTGTGGAGCTTGGCAAGTCTGCAATAGTTTAGCAAGTCATTTTCAAACTTGCAGCACAATTTCTTGCTATCTGGGAAGTCAGCCGGCTAGCATGAGGGGGAGGAGATTTCTGCCTGCTTCTGGCGCCGACTGGTCGGGCCGTGTGACTAGATAAAAGGCGCGCTATCAACCACGCGACGGCTACTGTGAGACACGTGGCATTGCTGTTGCTGGAGTGCAAGAGAGAGAGAACAGCCGAAGATGGCTGGGATCTATCCTAGTGTTGCCAGCTTTATGGAGGGACGCTGGAAGGTGACCCCACCGGGCATTACCAGTTGCCCAACTACTATTACAGACACCGGGATCCATAGCGTTAGCTGATTCTTTGGCTCTCTTCGGCCACCTGAGCCCTTTGGTTCAGTTGAACCTGAAGGGCTGCTGTACGGGCTAGCCCGTACAGCACCCGAAGGCGGTCGAGCGGCCGAGCAGCTTAGCCAAAGTGTCAGCCGAAGCGGAGCGAATGGCCCGCCGAAGGGCCAGCCTTCGCCCCGCAAATGACAGCTGGGTAGTGCCAGCTGTGATCTCACGGCTGCCTCCGTCCAGTTGTAATGACAGATTAATGACAGACGCTGATCTGTCATTAAACAACAGCTCCGCCCAGTTGTTATTCTTGGGCCAGGACCTGCTAGAAGACTCTAGCAGGTGGCGGCCAATAGGAAACAGCTGGGCGGAGCTAGCTGTCACTGCGAGCGCCACCCAATATTTTTTTTCCTTTTTTTTAAATCTGTATTTCTTTTTTTAATTTATTATGTTATGAAACATTTATTATTACCCAATTTTTTTGGTAAAATATAAAAGACGGGGTCACGTCGGGTAAATAGACACCAAACAAGTCAAAAAATATCATAGCCAAAACTGGCCATAGGCGACGCTTTAAAATCTTTTACCGCTCATCAGTTTAGTGTTACCAGTGATTGATAGCCATCAAATTATTGCTCGCGCTCCCACGTTCGTGCTGATATGTAACATGTGTGGCATAATGGGCGCAATCGTTGTTTTCGCACGTAGGCACACCCAATGCATGTTTGCGCGTGTATGTGGGAGGTGGGGGACTTTTTAAAAAATGTTTAAAAAAATTTGTGTGACTTAAACATTTTTTTTTACTAATTGTTTTTTTTTACACTTAACTTTATTGTTATCACATAAGAAGGAATATCAAATCACATATGCAATATCAAATTACAGTGACAGGTCCTCTTTATGTAGACATCAGGGGTCTTTAAGACCCTTAATATCCCCTATGGACTCCCAAAGAAGCAGAGATCTGCTTCATCGATCGATGCCTAGTCGATCATTAGGTGACGAGAAAGCATGGAGCCGGCTTTTTGGCCAATCAGGAACCTTTTACTCTTAACATGAGTGACGTGTGCATCATGGGTGAACCTTATCACCATCACACCTAGCATATCTGAGTGAGGCCTACACCTTTATTTTAGCTGAAGACAATATTATATTTGGACACTTTTGGAACCTTGTAGGGCCCCTTCATCATGCTAATGGGATCACTCACATCGTCTGCACGTATATATTAAAAAGTGAACTGTGAATAAAAAAGTCAGTGCATTACAAGAAGGGAGATTGGCAACCTTTGGTGGTGCACCCATATCATCATCCATAAACTGCCTGATCAGAATCCAGAAGCTCTCAGTGGAGTTGATGGCACATATGAAGTGGACATTTCCTGACACCATCTCCGCCCTTTACACAATGTGAGTCTCATGCTTCATCACATGTACAACGTGTTTTATGTACCTCTCAGCTCCGGAGCCAGTGTGTGTCCATGGTCATCCAGCAGGATCAGCTCCACCAGATGCGAGCCTATAGAGAGAAACAAAAGATGCCGTGTCTGAGTCGTGTACGAATGAAGCTGATGTCAAGCCACAGATTAGAAAGATGTCTAAACGGCCACATTCATATAAAATGTTATGAAACATTTATTTTCACCCCAATTTTTTGGTATAATATAAAAGTCGGGGTCACGTCGGGTAAATAGACACTAAATATGTCAACCTTTAACATTTCGCGCGCTCGCAAAATCGCAGAAAACGACCGCAACCAAAATTGGCCATAGGCGACACTTTAAACGTTTTTACCGCTCATCAGTTTAGTGTTATCAGTGATTGATGGCCCTAAAATTATCGCTCACCCTATGCTATTCAGCTCCATCTGGTGGCCACAATTACACTGCATTCGACCTGAATATAAACTACTGTATGCTAAGAACATTCCTTTTTGCCTTTATTCGCACAGAACGAACGTTCGCAGAGATCTGCAGGGTGAATGGCTCTGCAGATTGTTTATAAATAGAACCCTAAGCATACTAAACGCCAGCAATCGTCATTACCTGCTCGTGTGATTGGCGCACAGCTTTCCCAGAGGTTTTTCACTTATAACAAGACCAGGGCTGATCATAGGACTGAAGGAAGTATGAAGTGACCAGAACGCATGTTCCTGTATCCATAAATCAGCAGCAGGCAGGACTCTGCAATGAAGATTTCTCATATCCTGGTGCTCTTTATACCTGACCAGGGGAGGATTACTGTATTTTTTTTTCTCAAGCATGTTAATTTTATGAGAATGAATGTTAATTTCCACAGTGAAGTGCTCGAGTTCCTGTTAAAGTGCACACTGGGTGATAGTGAGAAGACAGGACATGCTGTTCCATAGAAATGAAGAGGGAGAGGAGTGATGGGGGCATATAGTTTATGTGACACAGAGGAAGATTTTAGTAGGGAACCTATTTTTGCTTTATTAAAAAAGAGCAAATCCATCGCAGAGAAAAGACAAAGGAGACAACAAGAAAAATAATGTTACCAGAGACGACTGCATCGCATTTTTACTGCATTTATCAAGTAACAGACACAACGTAAAGCTGAACTCCAGGCAAGCAGCTAACTATACAGATAAAATACATATATAAGAACTGTTTTTGCCAAATGATTTATATTTTTGGCCACCCTGTTCTGTATTTACACAGCTCTGCTACACAGCACAGCCCTGTCTGGCCTGATTTCTCTCTGGTGAAGTTAAGTCACTCTTAACGGTCTTGCCCCTCCCCCACCCCAGTGACTGAACAGTAAAAGGAGGAGCAGCAGACTGATGAGCTCATCTCTCTGCTCTCTTCTCTTATCAGCATGTTCCTTGTTATCATATGAACTCTGCAGCACAACTGATTGGCTCCTTCTACTGCTTATCCCTCTCTCTGATGTACAGGGACTGCAGGAGGCTGATACCAGGTCACATTTAGGTACTTACATAAAAGAAATGTAATGATGTTGTGCTGCCACAATAGTTGTGTACAATATAGCCATGGTTAATACTCACATTGATGCTAACCCCTTCATGACTGAGGCCCTTTTTTCAATTTTTGCACCCATGTTATATTCCACATTTTAGGCCTGAAAATGACGTAAAACCCCCCAACATTATATATTTTCTGAATGCCAAGACCCTATAGAATAAAATGGTGGTAGTTGAAAATTTTTATGTTGCGCAATATTAGCGCAACTCCTTATTAAACCCCAAAATTTAGTGACAAATTTAATTAAATGCCCCAAAACACAACAAATTACCAATTTTTTAAATGAAATATAAATTGTTTAGTTTATTTTCCTTACGCCATTTTCTCATTGATACTGTATGGCTAAGTTTGTGTGCTGCCATCTAGTGGTTATTTTGGTTATTGCACATGTTTTTCTGTGTTCCCTTTCCTCACATCTATGATGTATTTCCCTTGTGTGTAATGCTCCGCCCTTCTTCTTCAATAGTTATTTTCTGTGTCATGGCTGCTCGTAACAGGACCACATGTTAATCTGCATTGCATGCTTGCAAACATTATCATCTTTGACCGCCTTAAATACAACCTATTCATTCATCTGCTGTATCCTGCTGTCTGCTGTAACCTGCTGCACAGAAAGCACCTTTGTGGATGGAAAAGGTATTTGGTGAGTTCAGCTATCTGATAAGGATTGTCCGCAGTGATTATATAAAGTAATAATAAAGCCGGTTTCCTTTTTCTCTGTATACTTCTAAACAGTACGTGGTAATACATGATTGCTGATAACAAAGTCCATCACAACTCAATTTTGATCACTTTTACAGCCGCACCCCATGGCTTCCTGTGCACCACCTCATCTAAGTTCCATGGGCCAGCTCATCACTAATAGTTAGCTGACCGCAGTCATCAGGACTACATGTCCCAACGTTCACTGTGCCGGTGCTCATGAGTGCCCCTTAAATGGATAAATCTTCCTACGCCTGGGTGCTGCCCTGCGCCGCCACAGAGCAGAGACGTGTTCTCTATCTGTCTACCTTTTGCTGCCTGTTTGTATGACACAAGCAGTGACTTCATGTCATACTGTAGTCTGACCTTGAGAACACGTACATGGGTGACCCTGTGAGACCCTGCTAGTGCAAGGAGCCCCCCCCCCCCAAAAAAAAAACGAGAAAGGGGGGGCAGGGGAAAAAAA